GGAGCTCTTCCGCGAGCCGGTGTCGGTCGAGTGCGGACCAATCAATCTGCCGCGCCTGCATCGCGCGCTGCTGGGAGCGCCCGGGCGCGAGCGCCGCCGCCCCGCGCCTGCCCTGCCCGCTGCCCTGCCCGCAGTGCCGCGAGCCCGCGCGCCCCAGCCAGCTGCGCCCCAACCGGCAGCTCGCCGCCGTGGCCGCCCTGCTGCGGCGCTTCAGCCTGCCCGGTGCCGCGGCCGAGCGCGGGCCCCCGGAGGCGGCGGGGTGCGCGCAGCACGGCGAGCCGCTCAAGCTCTACTGTCAGGACAACGGGCGCGCCATCTGCGTGGTGTGCGACTGCGCCCGCGAGCACCGCGCCCACGCCGTGATCCCGCTCGACGAGGCTGTGCAGGAGGCCAAGGTGAGCGCCCCCGCGGGTCCCCGCGACCCTGCCCGGCCTCACCCGACGCCGTGCCGACGCGCCGGCAGCAGACAGGGCGGGGAGAGACACTCCGGTGAGCCCCTGCCTCCTTCCTCCTGCTCAGCCCTGGCGCCGTGGCGACCCCTCCGTCACCCCCGCACCCCCAGTACCCCCAGTACCATCGCCTGGGCGATGTCCCACAGACTTGGAGAGTTTCTTTCTTTTCCTTCCCCGGCCTCTAGCGTCGACTTTGGCGCATCCACACGGCCGCTGCCCCGGCTCCCAGCTCACCCCGCGGGTGGGAGGCCCTTCCCGAGGGGTCGGGGACAGTGGGTGGTCCGGGGGTTGGAGCAGAACCAGGGACGAGCCGTCTGGGGCTTCCTTTTTCTGTTCCCCGCCTCCTTCGCTGGGGGCCTCCCGTTGAGAAGGGGTGTTTTCCCGCCTTGAAACTTGGAACAACTGGATGGGTCTTTGGGGACGTGAAGAACCCTCGGGGCTTTTTGGCGGTCACCCCTGAAGGGTGGCCCTTGTTCCCCCCTGTTGCAAAAGCCAGGGCTGTGGCCCACCCCGGCCCTCCCTTCCTTCAGGGCCGCAGGGGCCCGCCCCCTTTGCTTCCTGGGGGGTTTTTCCGGGGTCTCTCTTTGACCCACCG